TTGTCCAACGGGTATCTAAAATTATTTTTAACCTTAAAGCGACATTTCTTCGTTTCGCTTAAAGTAATAAGAATTTTTTCATCGTGTTCCTGTTATATTTTGGTGAATAAATCTGTATTACAAACGCACATTGATAATTTGTGTTAATGATGAATTATGTGAACTTTATATATATTTTTTCAAAAAGGATGAATCAATGTTAGGTCCATTTGTTTCTTCTTTCAATCCATGGAATTTCAATATTTTTCCGGTGATAAAGAACACATGTGAAAAATCTAAGAACTTGAAACGTACAATTTCTTTCTCTACGCCCACCTAAGAACTTGAAACATACAATTACTTTCTCCACGCCCACCGTAGAACTTGAAACGTACAATTACTTCCTCCACGCCCACCTAAGAACTTGAAAGGTACAATGATTTTCTCCTTGCCCACCTAAGAACTTGAAACGTGCAATGATTTTTTCCACGCCCACCTAAGAACTTGAAAGGTACAATGATTTTCTCCACGCCCACCTAAGAACTTTTAACGTGTAATGACTTTATCCACGCCCACCAAAGAACTTGAAACGTATAATGACTTTCTCCACGCCCACCTAAGAACTTTTAACGTGTAATGACTTTCTCCACGCCCACCTAAGAACTTTTAACGTGTAATGACTTTCTCCACGCCCACCTAAGAACTTGAAACGGACAATGATTTTCTCCACGCCCACCTAAGGACTTGAAACGTACAATTACTTTCTCCACGCCCACCGTAGAACTTGAAACGTACAATTACTTTTTCTACGCCCACCTAAGAACTTGAAACGGACAATGATTTTCTCCACGCCCACCTAAGAACTTTTAACGTGTAATGACTTTCTCCACGCCCCCCAAAGAACTTTAAACATAAAATGACGTTCTCTACGCCCACCTAGGAACTTGAAACATGTAATGACGTTCTCCACGCCCACCAAAGAACTCTAAACATAAAATGACGTTCTCCACGCCCCCCTAGGACCTTGAAACATGTAATGACGTTCTCCACGCCCACATAAGAACTTGAAACGTATAATTACTTTCTCTACGCCCACCTAAGCACTTGAAACGTACAATTACTTTCTCCACGCCCACCTAAGAACTTGAAACTTACAATTACTTTCTCTACGCCCACGTAAGAACTTGAAACGTATAATTACTTTCTCTACGCCCACCTAAAGACTTGAAACGTACAATTACTTTCTCTACACCCACCTAAGAACTTGAAACGTAAAATTACTTTCTCTACGCCAACCTAAGAACTTGAAACGTACAATAACTTTCTCTACGCCCACCTAAGAGCTTGAAACGTATAATGACGTTCTCCACGTCCACCTAAGAACTTGAAACGTATAATGACTTTCTCCACGCCCACCAAAGAACTCTAAACATAAAATGACGTTCTCCACGCCCACCTAGGAACTTGAAACATGTAATGACGTTCTCCACGCCCACATAAGAACTTGAAACGTATAATTACTTTCTCTACGCACACCTAAGAACTTGAAACGTACAATAACTTTCTCTACGCCCACCTAAGAGCTTGAAACGTTCAATTACTTTCTCTACGCCCACCTCAGAACTTGAAACGTACAATTACTTCCTCCACGCCCACCTAAGAACTTGAAACGTTCAATTACTTTCTCTACGCCCACCTAAGAGCTTGAAACGTATAATGACGTTCTCCACGCCCACCTAGGAACTTGAAACGTGTAATTACGTTCTCCACGCCCACCTAAGAACTTTTAACGTGTAATGACTTTCTCCACGCCCACCAAAGAACTTGAAACGTGTAATGACTTTCTCCACGCCCACCAAAGAACTTGAAACGTATATTGACTTTCTCCACGCCCACCAAAGAACTTTAAACATAAAATGACGTTCTCCACGCCCACCTAGGAACTTGAAACATGTAATGACGTTCTCCACGCCCACCTAAGAACTTTTCAAGAATGGTTTGAAATTTACTGTGAAGGTAAATATGAATCGAAAATTTAATAAAACACTAATTTGTTCGAAATGTGATGATTTTTACAACGGCCAAACTAACGATGAACACAGAGCTTGCATGACTGTACAAAAACCACACACTACAACGGAATCTGACGAAGTCTACTGTCCTGTGCAGGAGATATATCTAATGTATGACCTTTAAATCAATGATTTCCATATGACACTAGTCTATTCTAAAAGAGAAGAAAGAAGACCATTCAATTATTAAATATTAAAACCAGGTCTCAACAGGCCACAGTAAAAGTTTGCGCTAGTTTGTCCATCGATCGTGTGTACATTGTGACGTCACGTTACTATTGTAGTCAATGACATGTTATTGTGACGTCACGATGTTGTATTATCCATATTGATTAAAACATTCAGCTAGCCTCTTTAAGACCGTCTGTTCTTCATAATCTTACACACCAAATTCATCCTTTCAAATAAATATAATTTTAATCGATATAATAAATCTTACACACCGAATTCATACTTAAAAATAAATGCAATTATAATTCATATAATAAATCTTACACGCCAAATTCATCCTCTGAAATATACCGGAAGAGCCATGTGAAGGGTGAAAGCAGCTTGTCTTTTAGTCGGTCGTTAGATCTTATTTAATTATATCTCAAAATAGCCCTTCGCGAATATCATACTACTGGGAAAATGTTAATACGCTGGCCTTCTTGATATAGGAAGACCGCCAGTGAAATACATAATTCATAATTCATTTTGCTCGGAATTAACGATTACTGATCCAATCGTTCCTGTTAAAATTTTACAATGCAAAATTTAAATGCTTTATGGATACTCTGTATTTCAAAACAATTTGAAGCAACCGGAAGATACATAAGCCGTCTTTAATTATGTCAATATGACATTAAGAGTTGCATTTAATGCAAAAGACACTTTAACATAAAGAACGGACGATATTAAAGGTTTTATACGTTGTATGTTTTATTTCATGTGAATATAATATTTGATCTGCATAGCAGTGGTGAGAATTAAAATTAATATAATATAATAAATATCCAACCAAAATAATAGGTAACACTTACACACCAAATTCACCCTAACATAGTTAACACTCACACGCACCCAAAACAGGGTTGGTCATATTATGATAATACCAACACATAACAAATTCTTAATGTACGGAAAACAGAAATATGGTTGTAGGGACAGACAGACAAATATTACATCCACAACCAATAAAGGACGTCACAGACATAGAGACGACAAACAGACAGGTGAAATAATATACAATATCCTGGTACCATTTCTTATATATAAAACACAACGAATAGCGAGGGACAGACAGACAGGTGAAATAACATACAATATCTTGGTACCATTTCTTGTATATAAGACACAACGAATAGCGAGGGACAGACAGACGAATGGACAGATAAGTAAGAACTTTAGTCAAATGGCAAACGTTCTGATAATCAAAATTATACGGATACCACCGTCAGTGTCGACAAGTGACAGACGTAAGCTTCGTTATTTGTCATACATCAGGACAGACAGGCGTACGGACGAAGAGACAGACAACAACCGATCAGACAGACATGTATGTAGACAAACGGGCACACGTGCTGACAGACATTCAGAGTGATTGAAATCGTAACAGGTATGGGGCCACACGGCCATACCTATATCAAAATGACCAAGTCCACATCTTAACGACCACGTCCATGTTCTTCAGGTACATATGGACACGCCCTTGACTTTTTACACGGAATTGGAACCTTATCAACTTTATCAAAGCAACGTTTCCCTTGACGTTCCGTTATCTGCTGGCACTGGTGTACTTGTAACCACGTCTATTGTTCGTAATGTGTTCAAATTCTTCATCCTCTGTCGTGTTTAGGATAAAAGTGTCTAGAAAATCGCAAAGGTCAGTCTCAGGACTGCTTGAACGGTGGCTAGTTGGTAGCTACCGGAGTTTCGTTGACGTTACTGCATTTGTCAGTCTTGACGATGTCCGGAGTGAACTGTTGACCGGAAAAGTGTTATTTCTAGCACTCTGGTCAGCCTCCAACCAAAAAAGGTTCTGATTTCGTGGAAACATCACTAAACGTTAGGATGTAATTTTCATGGAATCACAATAACGCACATTTAGCATGAAATAAAAATTAATTGCAAAAGTATTTATAGTACTTGTTAATTCTCATTTAAACGATCGAGTTAGCACATGAGATCGAGACTGTATTCAAAATTGTCTTCAAATTTGATCTGCGTAACAGCTTCCCCCTCCGTTACAGCTTCCCCCCTCCGTAACAGCTTCCCCCCTCCGGTTTTTATTTTATTTCACACAAATATATTTAACACAAAATATAACGTGACAAAGTGATGATTTTAAAGGGCTTCCTCGAGATAGAACATATCAAAACAATTATTTTTAAACCCTGTCTGGAGATTTGATACAAGATTTAAGTTGTTCCCTATCTGGAGTCGAACCCGCGTCTACAAGCACGCCGGTATTCAAACTCCGACAAAATGTTCAAGATCTGTCGGTCAATCGGGGCTTCTGTTGTTCCGTAAAAAGTTCGTCGTTGAAGCAAAACTATTCGCCGTACTAGGAAAACGCACAACCAAGCTAGATATAAACAGCAACAATATCACCTTTTTAATCCGGTTCCGCTTAGGTGTAACGGAACCACGATCGTTAGTCCGAATTCTTTGGTTTTGGAGGAAAATGTCTTGCGGTACGATTTCCGGATTAAAGGGGATTACTTGTCGTTGAAAAATATTTGTGCCCTGAGTATAAAGGTTTGTATCACGAGTTTTCCGGATTCCGCCGTACTAGGAGTTTCATTACCAGTTTATCAAACTGCACCGTTAAACAAATCGTTATTATATGATTAGAATATCGGACGAGAGCAAATCTGTGACGAAGACAATGTCATGGCGTCATAATGTAGAGGATCACGTGGATATTTTAGTGACGTCATAAATATGACAATTAGATGATGTCACAGTGTTTGGATACCGAACGACGAGATGGCCGCCAAGGGATCCCCGAACATCATCAACCTCCAGGAAAACTTCTCTCTTCGAGAAAAAGGCGGAATGTGGAGTCCGGATCAACACGAGAAAGTGTCCGTGGAATCATACGGCTATATGTTTGGTGAAACTATCGGCGAGGGACCAAGGTCAAAGGTCAAGAAAGCGGTTCGAAAACAAACGAATGAGATCGTTGCGATTAAAGTCATCAAGAAAAAATGCTTCAAGAAGGAAGCCGTAGAAAAGTTTGTGACAAGGGAAATAAGGTTGAACCATACTCTGCAACATCCGGGATTGGTAAGTGTTAATACGAACCTTTTATAACATTTTCACCTGTTGATTGGTTATTGTGTTCATAATGTATTGTTGTCGTTGCAATTGTCACATAATTTCTTCTGCGTTATCTCCATACCTCTTTTCGATTTTCGCTTATTTTCGTCTTCAACATCTAAATCTACTGTCGATTTTCACCTTTTTTCTATATTATTAATATCCTCATTCGATTATCACTTTATTTTCTGAAATAATTGTTTTCGTCAGTTAAAAACTTATTGATAATGTGATATCTAGAACTGTATAAAGAGAGAGAGAAAAAATGCACGGACAGAACAGGATTCGAACCCGCGACCCTCCGAACTCTATACAGACGGATGTTCTACGAACTGTTCGCCGGGGATTGACCCAGTCCAGTTCCGCTACACAGATACTTATGCATAATTTAGATTGATTGGTTGAATGATTGATTGGGTGGTTTTACGTCGATTTCACTATTGTAATTAAGGATGATACTTCCTTGATAAATGTAGCACTGTTAAGTTGGCAATTGACTCTTTTATTTGTTTGTTTTTTCTATCGAAACACTTCTGGATTATGCACCATTTTATCATATATTTATATATATTATATAGACGTTTTATTTGATTAAATAAGATCATTTCTATATTTCTAGCTGGACCTATACTCGGTGTACAGTAGCGGCACATCTTACTTCCTGGTAATGGAGTACGCCCCGAACGGTGATCTCCTGGAATTCGTCAATAGACTTGACCGCCTTTCCGAACCAGACGCTCGCCGGATCTTCAAGCAGTTATTGGACATCGTCAACTATCTCCATGAAAATGGCGTCTGTCACCGCGACATAAAATGTGAAAACATTCTCCTTGATGATTGTTACAATATCAAGTTGGCAGGTAAATCTTTAGTTTTATTAATTGATTGATTGATTTCTGCAGTTATTTATTTTATTTGCATTTCGACGAGAAAGGCCTATGTGAAATACATGTTGCATACTGTAGCAAAACAGGATTGTAAAATGCATTTATATAGATAGTGATTGGAATGTTAAAGTAACATTCACTCACATTGCTATCAAACATATTATTGGGAAAATGTCTCAGAATGACAAAATTAATCGAAATTTATCCATTTTTGACTTTCATTGCTTTCCGATCACACCCGAATGACTTTTTTAGACGTAACGGTTTCTATTGCAGATTTTGGATTTGCACGCAGATTTCCGGAAAACCGCATGGTGGGTACCAGGTGTGGTTCGTACGTGTACACTGCACCGGAAGTGCTCACGGAATCAAAATATGACGCGGTCAAGTCGGATATATGGAGCATGGGTAAGTATACCCTTTTCAATTTCATCAAACTATGGTTCGCCAAATACTTTCTTCTGTTGTTTTCATGATTAATTAAAAAAGAACCTGTGTTGTAGAATATTTCCTTACTATAACTGCTTTGCAGCTGTTAAGCATTGTTTATACAAGTTCGTGCGCTGGAGGCCTACGCGGGGCAGTCGCCGGGTACTGGTCGTAGTTCGTTGTTTTTTTTCTCTCTCTTGATATTCCGGCTTTCCTCCGCCATCAAAACCTGGCACGCCCTAAACAAACCCGCCTCGGTGTACTACTTTTAGGATTTGCTTTGTTACAGAACACGCAGGTAAGCGGTTCCAATGTAAATTGAACATGAACTGAAAATCCAAGCTGTCAGCAATTATTTCGATCGCACCGTGAGAACTGCTGATGAAATCAGACGAAACCCGTATCACTTGTATCCAAAGTCAAAAATAGAATTTGCGAAAGTTACATGGTAGCAGCATTTACTTAGTATCATCAAAGTCAGACTATACCTACGTGACCTTATATGTCTGCGTGTCTTACATCAAAATAAACAGAATCGGTCCGGATTTATTGGTTAGGAAGCAGCAATTCATAAAAGGCCATACCAAGTACTCATTAGTACGGTGGCTGATTTGTGCCATTTCGTTGTTTAGTCTTTTCGCCCCAAAAGGACGACAATTAAGAAACCTTAATTCTCGCTGTGGATTGATGCTATACCTGACTGTACATGGAGACTTAAGTGTGTATGCTACCTTACTGTGACATGGACACTTAAGGGTGTGTGCTACCTTACTGTGACATGGACACTTAGGGATGTATGCTACCTTACTGTGACATGGATACTTAAGGGTGTATGCTACCTTACTGTGACATGGATACTTAAGGTTGTATGCTATCTTACTGTGACATTGAGACTAAGGATGTACGCTACCTTACTGTGACACTGAGACTAAGGGTGCATGCTACCTTACTGTGACATGGATACTTAAGTGTGTATGCTACCTTACTGTGACATGGACACTTAAGGGTGTGTGCTACCTTACTGTGACATGAACACTTAAGTGTGTATGCTACCTTACTGTGACATGTAGACTTAAGGATGTATGCTATCTAACTGTGACACTGGGACTAAGGGTGTATGCTACCTTACTGTGACATGGATAATTAAGGGTGTATGTACCTTACTGTGACATGGATACTTAAGTAGGCATCCTACCTTACTGTGGCATAGAGACGTAAGGGTGTGTGCTACCTTACTGTGACGTGGACACTTAAGTGTGTATGATACCTTAATGTGACATGTAGACTTAAGGGTGTATGCTATCTTACTGTCACCTTGGGACTAAGGGTGTATGCTACCTTACTGTGACATGGACACTTAAGGATGTATGCTACCTTACTGTGACATGGAGACTTAAGGATGTATGCTACCTTACTGTGACATGGAGATTTAAGGCTGTATGCTATCTTATTGTGACACTGGGACTAAGGCTGTATGCTACCTTACTGTTAGATTGAGACTAAGGGTGTATGCTGCCTTACTGTAACATGGACACTTAAGGTTTCATTCTACCTTACTATGACATGGATACTTAAGAAATTATGCTACCTTACTGTGACATGGACACTTAAGGGTGTATGCTACCTTACTGTGACATGGAGACTTAAGGGTGTATGCTACCTTACTGTGACATGGAGACGTAAGGAATCATTCTATCTTACTGTGACATGGAGACTTAAGGATGTATGCTGCCTTCCATTAACATGGAGACTTAAGGATGTATGCTACCTTACTGTGACATGTAGACTTAAGGGTGTATGCTATCTTACTGTGACACTGGGACTAAGGGTGTATGCTACCTTACTGTGACATGGACACTTAAGGGTGTGTGCTACCTTACTGTGACATGAAGACTTAAAGATGTATGCTATCTTACTGTGACATGGAGACTTAAGAATATATGTTACATTTATTTGACATGGAGGCTCTCAACACATTTTACAGACAAAACGTGTAAAGCAGCATGTAGCCTTAAGACAAACGGTTTGGTGAACACGTGCTGTACTGGCTTCAGTATTCTCAGTATTCTGAGTGTTACCGAGTCAACCACATATGTTTCCCTTCGATAAAAGTAGTTTCTCCAAAATCGCACATTCTCGGGCCTTTCCAGCACACAGGGGAAACAATTTACGCTTGCCAGAAATGCCCGAAGATGTCCGATGGATTTCTGGTTTCCGACCAGCCGATATTCATCCTCTGTTCCCCCTTTGTAGGTATCTGCCTATATGCCATGCTTTGTGGTCGTCTGCCGTACAGAGACGATGATCTAGCAGTGCTCCTTTTCGCCATGCAAGAAAGGCTCAAGTTCCACAAACACGTCTCCAGAGGTAAGCGTATGGACGATCAGACAGACATATCCAATAATAGGCAACTGAATTTCTCAATGAATTCGATTTTCATTTGAATGTATTACAATTTACAGTACAGTATTTTAAGTATACAAACTATTTCGTTCTATATTGAACCTTAGTTTTTTAAAACCTGTCTATTCCGGACGCTAACTGTTGCCTCTGTGTTGTCCGGTTTATAAAAGTTTCACTATAATGCAGTAAAACAGTGAATGATTTTTTCCTTCGAAAACTTATAACATGTCTAAAGACTCAAATACTTAACAACGAGTAAACAAACAAACAAACAAACTATTAATTCATAAATATTTCACCGCTTTGCCATCAATTGAGATACTAGAACAAGTATTGTCCTCTGTTGAGTGATCGTAAAGAATGAATATTATTTTATACGTGTTACCTTTGCCGCCTGACACGACATACAAACTTATCAGGAAAGTTTTTTTTGAGGAATCGCATAGTACTGCCTTATACTGTCAATATAGTCCTTCTTTTCATTTTTGTTTGTTTGATGATATGGAACAAGTATTGCCTTCTGATGAGTAATCGTATATGAAGTGTGATCTTGAGGAATATCTGAGTCTTATCATACCTTTCTTATTAATTTATGATATACATCCAGTATTGTCCTCTGCTGAGGGCTCTTACGTGTATGTGGTAAAGATAAAGAATTACCGTGCATGCTCATACTTTTTGTCTCGCCGCATCTTAGGTAGTTCAAGTTCAAGTTCTTTATTACCTTGGGTCTTTTGACCCACCGGTTTCAAAAGTAAGATATATTTACAATATCTACAGACAATACAATACATGCAATACATCCAATACAATACCAGCAATGTACAAACAGTATGGAGAGTGTAACAAATTAAGTTAATTGGTTTCTTCTTACATTTGCCGCTTTTATATATTTGGCCAAATTGACAAGTTCTTATGTGTTATTTACATTAAATAGATTTATCATTGTAAACATACTTGGGTTTTTTTTACATAGTACTTTTTCAAAAATTTAACACACAAATCCGAATAACATGGACATTTCAACATGAAATGAAACTCATCTTCAACGTCATTTAAATTACATACAGTACACACTCTAAGACTACGCTCAATATTTTGATATCTACCTTTTTCTATATTTAGATTATGAGTAGATAACCTAATTTTTGTAATCACTTTCAAATATTCTCTAGATAATGGTTTTCTTAAGTAACACTGTAAATCAAACTGGTTATAAAGATATGTATAGATATATTCCTTTGAAGATGTTCTTACGTTTTCTTTGCATTCTTGTCTATAAATATCAATAAGTCTTTCTCTAATAACATTATTACACATATCATCATTTATTTCTGCTTCCCATATGTAACCAAGGCCAATTATAAAAAAATAATTTTTTTATGTTTAAAACCCATTTATCCTTATTCTCTAATGTATCTTTATAACATGCTTGCAAAATACAATTACTAGTACTTTTTAACTTAATCCAATATTTAATAATTCTTAACTTTCTTACCAATGACAATGGATACCTCCCAAGTTCTAAATAAACCATAATATTACAAGTATTTTTTCTTGCGCCAAGCAGTCGTTTACAAAACAAAGTATGATTTTTTTCAATATCTGGGGCTTTATGAAAGCCCCATATTTCAGAACCGTAGCTTAGAATGCTATTAACATACGTACCAACAGCTGATGATTGAGTTTCAATATCTCAAATCTCAACCCATGCATCAAATGCTGGATGCGGCCTACCTTTCATGGTCCATTGACCCAGTCAACATCTCCATCAACATTAAGTTTTTTGTGTTTAAGTCAGTTTCTCTGAAAATATAAGTGCTACACCAAGCAAACTTGACATGTGCACTGATGGTCAATACATCAATCGGAATGACTTGTTAACAAAGTCGGGCACAGGCGAGACATATCAATCCGAATGGTTTGTTAACAAAGTGGGGCACAGGCGAGAAATATCAATCCGAATGACTTGTTAACAAAGTGGGGCACAGGCGAGACATATCAATCCGAATGACTTGTTAACAAAGTGGGGCACAGGCGAGACATATCAATCCGAATGGCTTGTTAACAAAGTGGGGCACAGGCGAGACATATCAATCCGAATGGCTTGTTAACAAAGTGGGGCACAGGCGAGACATATCAATCCGAATGGCTTGTTAACAAAGCGGGGCACAGGCAAGACATATCAATCCGAATGGCTTGTTAACTAAGTGGGGAACAGGCGAGAAATATCAATCCGAATGGCTTGTTATATTAATTAAACGACATATATCGAGCGTTTCTTGTGTTGAAGAAATCATTATCAGGAATACCGTCCCTTCTCCTTTCTGTTTTATTATCAGATAACATAAAAGAGCAATGCCTTCTGTTGAGGATTCGTACATGTAATAATAATAATAATATACAACATTTGATATAGCGCCCTATCTAGCTAACATAAGCAACTCTAAAGCGCTTCACAGTACATAGATATACAATTAATGCAATTAGCATGTATATTAATCAATACAATTTGAGGAATTCGCAAGAGCTGCCTTATCAGGCGCTGACTACAAGTCCTATGCCACCTGGCTAATATCGATCCATATGTGTGTATGCCTGTATGCTGGAGATGTAAGTTGATGATGAGGAAAATCAGGGTATGCGCATACTTTTTTCATAAGATGATATATCAACTACTTTCTCTTGTTTAGGGATCGTACAGGAAAAATATCCTTTCTTTGTTCATAGTTAACTTAATAATTAAAATATAATTGATAAGTATTGCATTCCGCTGAGACGATAGTTTCATATGATGACGTACATCAAGTATTATCTTCTTATGAGGGTTAGAATAGTGCTACTTAGAAATATCCCAGTAAAACTAAACAAATGAACGTTTTCCTCCCTTCCACAGACTGCCGTGATCTGCTGCGCGCCATGCTATCTTACGACCCCAGGAAGAGACCCGCCATCAGCAGCATCATGAAGACAAACTGGATGTGTAAACCCCTGGGGAACGCCGGCGAATCGTCCATGTCCTCATTGTCTGTGGCGGCCGGTATGTACAGTGTAAACCTTTAATTAACCCGGCAGAATCCTCAGGAGTTGTTTGTTTTACTTGGTGGCACAGGCTTGCCAAACGGACGACGAACAACCTTCAAGCATTTTAAATCATTGCACGTCGCAATTTTTTTTTGTATAATTCGCTTTTAATTTCGACGTGGGCGCAGGTTATTGAACGGTGTTTCCCAAGATGAGTTTGTTGACAAATAGTCGATCACAAATTAACTTTAATCAGGGGCTTAGACATTCAAGAATCCGTATTTGCAACATCTCAATTAACGCGAGGAGCCGCAAAATGTTTCCTTGACACGCACTTCTAACAGATTGCTCCTATAATACCAATGAGTTGAAACCAAATTTTATTTTTCGTCCACACCCCGACCATTTATAAAATTAAATTAAATACGAAAAAAACAGCAACGCGAAATCGCCTCAGAGAGCTTCAAGACAACAATATTCCCTTAGACCCTCCTTACGAAAGGCGCGCCCCTCTCCCCACTTCGACTGGGGCTTACGCCTGTTAATGTTACTGACCTACGAACAATTAATGTGTAATTCACACGAACTGACCTGCGAAAGCTCCACGCCATTGACCACATATCAAATGACCTTCAGAACAAACAAATCGCCGAATTGACTTTGACCTCTCGATATTACTTGACCATTTAAGATGCTGAATGACCTTAAATTTAAACTTTGAACTCTGTTAACCTTCAGTGACCGACAAGCATGAACTACCCATGGACTACAATCCCTATGCAGAGCATGGCTTCTCGTGCAATCTACACGACGACGTCTTTAAGGGAACTCCAGTTACAGACGTTTTGCGTACCGTCGCCGAAAATCACAGGTAAAACCAAGTAAAAAATTAAAACTAGAAAATATTTGTAAAACACACACATATATATATTTATCACATAATGTAATTGTTATCCGGTGAATATATCCATGTCATATTTGTTTGCGTATTAACCTATGTAAATAGAGAATAATACATGCCTTTTTCCATATCACACCCAGTATCACCCCGAGACTGCAATATCAGCCAAGGGGCCGAAGGCCCGAGGGCTGATATTGGTCGAGGGTAGATACTGGGTGCGATATGGAAAAAGGCGTGTTTTATTATGTTTATTACATACTTACTAATAAAAACTACTATCTTATGATTATTTATTTTTTTGAAATATTGAAAAACGATTTTTTTTCCCAAAAGGGGTGTGATATGAGTTTTGCGGGCTGATACGGGTTTTGGGGTGTGATACGGCGAGGGCTGATATGGGTTAGAGCAATTGTGTCGTATCGCATATACACAAAAAAACGTATTTATTAGTAAGTATGTAATAATATGTCCTATCATCCCTGTGATTGGTTGTGAGTTCCAATTGTTTAAATTGTGACGTCACGCCTAGGACAAGTACATGACGTCACAGACTTACGCACTGGAGTCAAAATGGCGGCTTTTTACATTTCAAGGTTGCATGAAAACTGTCGTTTAACACGAATAAATGGCACAAATCTTGATTATGTGTTAAAAAGGATCTTACACTCGTTTTCATTTCAAAAGAAATTTATGAAACTCGTCACGAACTTTTCATTTAAGCTCGCCAGAGCCTCGCTAAATATAAAGATTCTTAGACTCGTTTCATAAATATCATATGAAATGGAAACTCATGTAAGATCCTTTATATAATATGTTTCCGCTCCTGTTTTGATGGAAATGGGGCTCATTGCAAAATAAACACCTAGTCATAGAAATGGAGCTAAACACAAAATATTTACCATCGTATGGCGTTGCCATAATATTACCTTACCAAATTATGTTGGCATATATTTAAGCATTGCACTGTTTTTGTATGATATTTATGATCTATTTGAATGACACAGCTTTGCAAGCAAACAACATAATGCGCGCTAATATCATACAAAAACAGTTCAATACTTATATTTACGTTTTCTCTGCCTCTTATGTTCTTTTTTAACTTATAATTCATAATTAAAATTAAAAATGACCGCCTTATCGACAGTCCACACAATTTCGTTCAATAGTTTGAACAGCGTATTGTCGCGTGCTGATTGGCAAACAAAGTAGTACTTTGACATTTTAACAAACACTT